GACATAAATCACACATGGAGACTCTTCCTACCTTTGTGGAATGTGAATGCCTAACAAAATCTTGGACAGAAGCATGATGTGGGGAAACTGGACCACTGTCAATGAGTTTGTTCTTATAAGCTTCTCAACCCTGTCCTCTGAGCTACAGACTCTACTGTTTCTCCTATTTTTGATCATTTACTTGGTTACATTAATGGGAAATGTCCTCATCATCCTGGTCACTATAGCTGATTCTGCTCTGCAAAGTCCTATGTACTTCTTCCTCAGGAACCTTTCCTTCCTGGAGATAGGTTTCAATTTGGTCATTGTGCCCAAGATGCTGGAGACCCTGACCACTCAGGACACAACCATCTCCTTCCTCGGCTGTGCCACTCAGATGTATTTCTTCTTCTTCTTTGGAGCTGCTGAGTGCTGCCTCCTGGCCACCATGGCGTATGACCGTTATGTGGCCATCTGTAACCCCTTGCACTACCCCATCATCATGGGCCTGAGGTCTTGTACCCAACTGGCAGCTGCATCTTGGTTCTCAGGGTTTCCAGTGGCCACCGTGCAAACCACGTGGATCTTCAGTTTCCCTTTTTGCGGCCCCAACAAGGTGAACCACTTCTTCTGTGACAGCCCTCCTGTCATCGAACTGGTCTGTGCTGATACCTCTTTGTTTGAGCTGGAGGCCCTGACAGCAACTGTCCTATTTATTCTCTTCCCATTCTTGCTGATCCTGGGGTCCTATGTCCGCATCCTCTCCACCATCTTCAGGATGCCCTCAGCTGAGGGGAAGCACAAGGCCTTCTCCACCTGCTCCTCCCACCTCCTTGTTGTTTCCCTCTTCTACAGCACAGCCATTCTCACGTATTTCCGACCCCGCTCTCACACCTCTCCTGAGAACAAGAAGCTGCTGTCGCTGTCCTACACAGTGGTGACTCCCATGCTGAATCCCATCATCTACAGTTTAAGGAATAATGAAGTGAAGGCTGCCCTAAGGCGGGTCATCCACAGAACTATGGACCTTCAGAAGCTATGACTAATTTAGAGGGAAACTGAAGGGGTAAAATGCAAAGACAAGGGAAAGAAAATTAAATCCTCAAATGAATTTTTAATCTCTACTCTTTCCGGGAATATACAGTGTATGCCCCCTGGAATTTTGAACTTTCCACTAGAATTCATCTCTGCGTGAAAAAACATGAATAATGGAAGCAGTAATAGAGCAGGCTGTGTCTTCTACGAGATTGTGGCAACAATGTCTCTAAGGATGGTGCTGGTTTACATAAGCTGGATCCTCTGAAGATTGTAAAATTCACTAAAATCCATTCTGTTTTGTTTTAACCTTGAACTTCTTTATCAATTTCATTTTATACTCTTCTGCTTTACTTTTTTGTATTCATCCAAAACCCTACCTGAATATTTCTACGGTATCTTTGTTTCTAAAGTAATTAAAACAATTGTACTAATGACAATAACTTAAGAGTATTATTTCATTCTTTTACTCATTTTTATAAACAAGTTTTTATTAAGCAATCTGCACATATCAGCTCCAGGTTATGCCCTAACAACACTGTGGTAAACAAAGCAATTATCTTGCCTCATGGAATTTACAGTCTAGTAAGAAAGACAATGAAAACATACTTCAGACCTTCACGGCTTTATAATATCCACGTGTTAATTGGGGTAGCAGTTGAGTACCACCTTCCTGCCATGGAGGTTCTGTGCTTCATCCAGAGAAAGACTACCCCACACTGAAAGCCGCCTAAATCTGAAATTATTCACATGGGACGTGAAAGCTGCTTGACAGAAAGATTATTAAGAACTCTCCAGTCAACTATAAATAGAGAGGTTATAGGAATCTTCCATAAATGACTCAAAGTTGCTTTGTGTGCTCAACGTTTTTCTGTAATATTCTTATGATTGGATGCAAGCAATTGGTCCTTTCAAGCCTGAACATCATTCTACCAACATAACAGACTCTGATTTTTCTCAATGAACATAGTACTGTTCTCAACAATTAGGAGCTCTTCCGGGTACAGGCAGTATAACTTTCTGTAATAATTCACTGATAATTGCAGAGTAAAATAGTATTTCCTGCATAAGTATGTCATTTCCACCAACTCCATTAAAAAAGACCCTGCCTGGTAAATGGGTAAACAAATTGAGATAGATACCAACAATGAACTATTGCTCAACAATAAAAAGAGACAATTAATAAATACAAGATGAATGTACCCCAAAAGCGTCATGTTATGTAAAAAAGTCAGACTGAAAAATATACTGTTAGGATACATGTACATAAGGCAAATACATAGTAACAGCAGATCAAATGATTGCTAGATTAGGGAGGTTTTTTTGGTACTGGGAATCAAACTCAGGACCTTGTGCTTGCCAGGCAGGTATTGTACCACTGAGCTATATCCCTGGTCCAAAACTGAAGAGGTAGGATCTTTTTTGTTTTTTCGTACAAGGAATTGAACACAGGACCTTGTACTTGCCAGGTAGGTGCTTATGTCACTGAGCTATATCTCCAGCCCTAAATGTTTCTATGTTTCTTTTTGGTCTTTTTGAGATAGGGTCTAGCTATGCAGTTCAGGCTGGCCTTGACCTCACTTTATAGCCTAGGCTGGCCTCAAACTCACAACGATCCTCCTGCCTCAGCCTCCCAAATGCTGGGATTACAGGCGTGCACCACCACGTCCAGCTGATTGCTTCAGAGTAGGAAGAAAATGAATACAATGACTAAAAGGGGACACCTTAGACTTTTCACAGTGATGAAAATCTTTTATATTATGTGTCGTGGTGGTTAAACTATTGTTTACTTTTGTTAAAAGTGAACTCCAGTGGGAATACAATTCAGTAAACTGGCTCCTGGTGATATGTTGATTACACTGGACCACTTCCATCACCCAGAGCTCAGTATTTGTCCTCATAGAAATAGAATCATAGTATTTCTCTTTTCTTTATGGTGAGGTAATAGACTGAGGTCCACTGAATTTGTGTCAACACACAGTCCAATAACCGGAAGCGTGTGACTTGATAGAATTGCAAAACTGGCCTGCTAAAGTCCCAGTTACCACACCAGATAAGAGGCAACCTCTAAGAGATTGAATCTCTGTCTTATAAAATGCAGTGTATACTTTTTAAATAATTATCAATATATGGCTCTATCTCTACAGTTGCTAGACTTCAAAGAATGATAAACCTAAGGATACAGTTCGAGTGGCTCCTTAGATTATTGAGCAAGCAACCCTCTACAGACTTTTTGCTACCCATCTCTACATTCTTAGGCTTGACTGATTTAAGATTCCCAGTACCCGCAAAATAAATGCCTTCATTATGGTCTTGAACCCCTGAGAATCTTAATGAATTAGAAATGGTTTTCTTGCTGGTATTGTGGTCCTTTTATTACTGAACTGGTAGGCAGACATAAGTAAAATCACTATATTGCCTGAAGTAATTATCTATTTCCAAACACAAATTTTGTTACTGAAATACATTGGTGGTAAAGAAGACTGAGTTACAAAACCAGACAGTGTGCTAGGGTCTCTTATCATACTTCCTTGAACAACAGCACCAGTGAAAAAGAAGCCACAGAAGTACAATAAAAAGGGATGATCAAGAACTCAAATATTAAGGAAAAAAGTTTTAAGCCATTATATGAGATTAAACCCTAGAAAATACAGAATAAGGCAGGAAAAAATATTCATGAAAGGCAGTGAAAGAAAAATTTATAATTATCAATTTAGGTCTGGTGGTTAGGATCAGAAACTATAATAGGTGTGTTTCCTGTTAGTTATTTGTTTTTTTCACCTTTTCTCTTCCTAATTTCCTTACATAAGTAATCCTAGTGGAAACTGTTCTTTTAGATATCAACAAGTGTGACTTGCTTGACATCACACTGCTACAATAAACTTGTTGATGGAACTTTATATGTATTAAAACATATATTTTTAATGTTTAGGATTAGGAACATGAATTAATCACTGTATTAGGACCATGAATTAATTACCGGACCAAGAACAAGTAGATGCCCGAGAGCCAAAAAAAATCACTTGTTCTTCACCTTCAGCTTCCTTTGACCTATTGATTCTCCATCCTTTCTCATCTCGCTATGTTCTTCAGAAAGTTTGTTGTCTTTTATGGCTTGTACAAAGAGGCTCCCTTGTACTCTGACTTCTAGTTGGAATACAATAATGAGGCTCAGAGTGAGGTGGAAATTAAGCTTGAAATATTTCTTCCCAGTGCTTGCTCACTTCCACCTAACCTAGCCCACAGCTCTTGTCTGGTGTACTTTGCATACAGCTACTCCCCCTACATCCTAGTTCTTTCCTGTTGGTCCTTCAGGCCTAGGTTTGATTCCACTCTCACTCTTGTCGGCCCTGGGATGTGTCATTATTTCTTGTTCATTTACAAAACTACATATTCACTCTTATGAAGGTGCATCCTGATAAGTAAGATCCTCATATCTCTAAAAGGACTGTGACATGGACAGAAGAGCGTGTATACTCTGGCTCATTGCACCCGGGCTCTTCCTTACTCACCTCTAACACACACGGGAACACTTGCATGCACATACAGATAGCACCTCGCTCATGGCAAGTGACTGATGTTCATTAAATGTTTATTATTTTATGTTTTTTTAAAAGTTCAGAAATACCAAAATACGAAGAACTTTGAGTAGGATCTTGGCTAGATGAATATATATATATATATATATATATATATATACACACATTATATATAAAAGAGAATATTTTACAAGGTTTGTAAAATAGGAATGTTTCTCAGGAAATGTCCTAAATTTGGGGTGTCAACAACTGAAGCAAAAAAAAAACCAGATCCTCTGTCCTATTGCTCCTTGAATTGTGATGCTTCTTCTACAAAGGAAGTGCTAAATAATAAAGAGTCGGTTCATAGACAAGGCTCCAGGATGAGAATCTTCCCACATTTAGATTCTCGAGGAAGGAGACTACTCAGCAAGCCTTACCGTGTAGGAAGTCAGAAAGGTCTCTGAGTCAGTGGATGATGTTAATTCTGCACAGGAAATTCCTCATGGCTACTTTCCTCAGTGCTCCCTTCACATCCTTGTTCCTCAGGCTGTAGATTAAGGGATTGAGCATGGGAGTTACCACTGCATAGAAAACAGACACCAGTTTCTCTTGCTGTTTGGAAGATTTGGGTGTCATGTAGGTGATGATTGCTGACCCATAAAAAAGGATGACAACCATAAGGTGGGAGCCACAGGTAGAAAATGCCTTGAGCCTTCCCGCAGCTGACTTCATCTTGACCACAGTCTCTATGATGTAGCCATAAGATACAAGAATTAGAGAAACGGGTATAAGAAGAATCACAACCCCCATGAGAAAAATGGCCATCTCCGAAGTGTGAGTGTCTGTGGATGCCAGAATCAACAATGCAGGGGCCTCACAAAAGAAATGAGCAATGCTGTTGCTGCCTCGGTAGGGCAGCCTTAGTGTGAAAGTGGTGTCCACCACAGACACTAAGATACCACTGGTCCATGATCCTGTGGCCAGCTGGATACACACCCTCCAGGTCATGATGCTAGGGTAATGCAAGGGGTTGCAAATTGCCACATACCGATCAAAGGACATCACTGCCAAAAGGACACACTGTGTACACCCGAAAATGAGGAAGAGGAACAGTTGAGCTGCACATCGTGTGAATGAAATGGACTTCTTTCTGGAAAGTAGATGGACTAAGGCCTGAGGAACTATGTTTGTGGAGAAACAGAGGTCAGCCAGAGACAAGTTGCAGAGAAAAAAATACATGGGCGTATGAAGCTGGGAGTCAATCTGAACAAGGGACACGAGAAGCAGATTTCCAAGCACAGTGATCAGATAGACACCCAGGAATAAGACGAAGAGCAGCTGCTGGGTATTAGGGTCATCAGAGAGTCCCAGAAGAAGGAATTCTGCCACTTGTGTCTGATTTGTCTGTCTCATAGTTTGTCTCCCTTTTCAGCAAGAAGTCACTATGTGGTAAACATAGGTGTGCATAACATACAAAATTATATAGTTCAGGAGGGCATCCGTATAACCCCAATTACTACAACATTGCAAGAAATTCCCTTTATAATGCCTTTAGGAGATGATCACGCTGCTTGAGTTGGGAACGTTCTTAGTGTTGCATAATAGTACTTTATAATATGAGGTATTCGTGGTGGGTATAGTCTGGCAAGTATAGAGTAGATCAAAAAAGAATCATCCTCCTTGTTCTGAATATCACAGTTTCAAGGCTACTTCAGGGACCATTTCTACAGTATGTTGAATATTGCGGTTTCACAAATAAGGCAATGAATGTGATCAGATGTATCTATAAAGTCATGCCATGGAATTGCAGTTTATTATCAATTAAATCCTGTCTTATGCTGCTCTTGTCGCATCTCCATCTTATGATTGTGCTAATTTTTTAAAAACACATGTTGGTGATGCAACTGATCTTGTCTCTTCCCTTAAAAGATAATTGGGAAGGAATAAAAATTCAAAAAGAGCCAAACTACTTTGTACAGCAAATATGTTTCTTAGAGAAAACAACTTGTCCTGAAGGAACTGAGGAGCTAAAGAAGAATTCTGAATACGACTGGCATGTTATCTGCAGCTTCTGCTGGAGCTCGGTGAAGCGAATCTTAACTGTGAATAAAATTCCTAAATAACAGACACACCACCAAAGCAGAATTTACATTTAAGTCATCAACTTGGCGATTTTTTGCTCTGCTCAAACAGTACTTCTACCCGCCATCTAGTCCAACATGATCTCTTATGACCTTGTGTTATCTATTGTTTACCTTCTCCCCAAAATTTAAAAACTCTTTTGGAAACTGTGTAAGTTTTTCTGTGTACTTGAGAAGTCATACTAGAGCACCTCATTCAGTAAATGATCATTAATTTTACAATGTCAGCAAAAATAAGTAGAGATGTACAGAAGGCCAGCACTGTCACTAAAGAGATTTGAAAGAACTAGGAGTGATTATAATAGTAGTATTATAATCAGAATTATTATAGTAATCTATTATTATAATCAGAATTAATAGTGATATAATAGTGATTATAATAATTACATAGCTGTTACAAAAGTAAAGGGTACTTAAAGTGTAAAGTTTCAACTTCTATGCAAGTGTTGGATTATCAACTATTTATCTGATAATTGATAACATTTCAAGATAATGTTTTAAATGTATCAGTGACTATCAAGGAAAACAGTTACATCAAATATAGTTATCAATATAATTTTAGAAAAGAAGTATGCAAGCAGCAATATATGTACTTTAATAATACACAATATAAAGATTATATGTGTGTTCATTAACACCTTTTTTGGCAGTACTGGGGATTGAACTTGGGATCTTTTAATAAGCTACATTCGTGGCATTTTTAAATTTTTTTACAATTTTGAGACAGGTTCTCACTAAGCTGCTAAGTCACACTGGCTGGGCTCAAACTTGCAGTCTTTCTGCCTCAGCCTTACAGAATGACATTAAAAGTAGTGGGTCTAATAACCACTTTCATTTCAAAATAATTATGACCTTAAATGTTTGCAGATATCCAAGAGCTACAATGTGATATATAAATACTTAGGATTTCTGCTGCTGACAAACTCATAGGTACTTCCAGTGTTGGTACCAGTGATTACCAAAAGTTAAACTAGAAGCAAATGCCAAATTTCATGTAGTAGAAAGTAAAAGTGTAGAAGTAGCATTTCATATACTAATTGAAGAACACCCTGAAATCCTTGTTAAGAACAGCTAGGCTACAGGAATTTTCTAAAAGAAAGAAATGAAAGGGGAGAGAGAGAAAGAGAGAGAAAGGGGGGAGGAAGAAAGAAAGAATAAGAGGCAAAATTACACCCTACATAACCTATTAACAGTCTTAATATCTAGATGAGTCTGTAGGTTAAAGTGATGAAAAAATTCTACTTATTTAGTCTCAGACTAAAGTTGAGATGTGCGGTTCCTGGTACCGGAGAAAAACCAAAACCAAAAAATAAATAAATAAATAAATAAATAAATAAATAAAGTTGAGATGTGGCATCAGAAGAAGATCCCATTGTCCTTTGTTTAACTGCTTGATGTTTTAGCTGCTTGTTCATTTTGTAAGCAGAAGATCTAAAGCAAATAGCCTAGTCCAAACCAGGTGTCATCTATTTGACAAAAGCCCCATTTATAACCATCCACCCTTACCCATTGCTAATTAGCCATGGATTCCCCTCATGTTTTCTTGCTGTCTGGGATTTCTCCCTCAATATCTTTCCCAATTCTCCATCTTAACCCCAACACAGACATAGATGCAAACAGTTACGCTCATCCAGAAATGCCTAGTCTATCATAGATACGCAAGTGTGCTTACAGCATCATGTACTTACCTCTATAGTAGCTCTTAACGAATATTTCTCTGTGACCGTAAAATGTTCAAGGGCAGGGACAGCACCTGTATTACCTTTATTTCCAGCCAATAAGATCCATCATGGTACATAACTGTCCAGCACTGTATTTTGAACCGATTTGATGTGAGCCAAGGTATCAGAAGACAGAGAGGTGAACGTGTGTTATTGATGAACGTGACTTGTGACTTGTCAGAGGATATGGACTTTTATTGACTAGGAGTGCATTAGAAAGCAGCATGCCTAACTTCCTTGATTGTCATTAGGAATGCTATTCTCCCATACAAATTTAGAGGAGAAAATGTTTCCCCAAGTGACTGTGACTCTACCTTCAAGGTCAAGAAGAATCTGTAAGAAAAACCACTTTCGCTGTCAACCTTTCTGTCATTTAATTTTACCTTTTCTACAGATTGAACAGGAAATGTGAGTTCATTTCTGTAAAGGTAAAATATGTCATTGGATGTGCAGGAAGATCAAAAGGATTGCAGAAACATGCATTGCCTACTTGCCATATATTTTAGGAAGAAGGCATTGAGTAAACCCATAGGGAACCAACACAAACATATCTAATTTCTCTTCTGACTCCAAGATCCTTTGCACTTAAAATCGCTTATTCTTTATCCTCCAAACCCAGCCAAACAGAGGCATAAGAACCAAAACTCATTCTATGGAAGTTCTGTTTACATCCACATGAAATGAGGATGAAGATTATACTTCACTAGGAATTTTATATTGTAATTGTAATAAGGTATGTGAAAATTTGCCACTGTGAAAAATGACCAGATCTGTTGCAGAAGATTTAGCCTCATTAAGTAGGTTATTTTGATAAAACTAGATTAATTTTAAAAATCAAATCTAAGCAGGTGAATGTTCACTTCCAATATGCACGTAGCTATAACTTTTTAGTTCACATCATGGTTTTTCTTCCCTTCCCTCTAATGATCTTACTAAATTTTTTTATCTGGAGGAGAAAAAGATTAAACTAGCATGCCAGCGTGTGTAAAGACACGCCACTGTGGAGGGAGAAAGTGCTGCAGTTGCATTGGATGCACCTTGGGAAAGTGGAGACAACAGGCTTCTTGGCATAAAAGCAGAGCTCTGTAAAATCTCCTAGTCAACATCAAGGACAAGGCAGGAAAGGGAATCCCCACATCACATCGCCCATGGCCTTCTGCTCCATTCGAAGGTCTTACCATTGACTTCAGGATAAACTGTACATTAATAGTTCCATTTAAATGAGGTGAAGCTGTGAAGAGGGGATTCTAGGAACAATCTCTGGAGCAGCTAAAGAACTCAGGAGAATTCTGAATCATTAGTTTGTATCCTGAGCTTTATTTCCTCTCAGGAGACTCCCAAATGGTTATAACGCAGGGGGAACATTGTACTGCTGCAATTAAGCATTTAGTTTCTGGAAGAAAAAAATACTAGGCTGAAACTCAGATCTATCATATACTTTCTGTATAATTTTGAGCAAGTTCATCATTTTCAGAATGGGAAGGTGATAGACTACAGATAGTAATTATTGGATTAATGTGACAACATGACTTATCACAGTGCCTGTGGCACTGCCTTGAATTATTATAATATTAATATATAATTATAATGTACAGTTATTATTATAATCAAGCCTGGGGATTGACATTATGGGTAAATATCTGAGTTTTGACAGATACTGTTTTTGACATTGTTCAGGAAATTTGTCATATATTTGCAGAATCCTAAACTATCCAAATGAGAGGCTAAAAAAGTCCAACACAAGCATGGTGGTTCATGCCTGTAATCCCAGAACTAGGGAGGCTGAGGCAAGAGGATCGTTGTGAGCTCAAGGCCAGCCTGGGCTACAAAGTGAATACAAGACCAGCGTGAACTGCATAGTGGGACCCTGTCTCAAAAAGACCAAAAAAAAAAAAAAAAATCCCACATGAACCAACTGAAAAAAGAAAAATAAACTAAGCAGAATTCTTACTGCTAGATTGAGTGTGGGTAGCAGTGGTAGAAGTCAGAGTCTGAAAAGGAGAGACTCTGGCAGAACTCCCACTGTTTTACTTGAGGTTTCTGGACAACTAGTCTAAGGGAGAACACCAGCTTACCATAAACCTCTCTCACAAAGCCTGAATGGGTAGAAGAGTCAATTAGGTCAACTAAGTTAATTGTATAGTTGCAGTCAATCTTCTTTGTGATATTCCCAACAGCTTGTTTAAAAATTACTAAAAGAAAGTAATCCAAATACACATGAAAATCTATGCTGAATAAACTTATATTTTGTACCGGGTGTGGTGGCACACACCTGAAATCCCAACACTCAGGAGACTGAGGCAGGAGGATCATTGCAAGTTTGAGGCCAGCCTGGGCTACAAAGTGAGCTCAAGTCTGGCCTGAACTGCATAGTGAGACCCCGTCTCAAAAAGACAAAAAAAACTTTTATTTTGTAACTTCATATCTTGAAATAATTTCAGATTTTAAAGAAGTTAAAAGAATACTGTAAAGAACCCTCATACTTCCCTTACCCAAATTCTCCAATTATTAACATTTTACCACATTTTCTTTGTAATTTATCTCTAATTTG